ATTATGAGCTATGATAGTGTCCCTCTTCTTTTTTGGGGGGGCAGAGTCTCCCTCTGATGCCCAGGCTGGAGTGCAGTGGCATGATCTTGGCTCATTGCAGTGTCCACCTCCCAGGTTCAAGAGATTCTCCTGCCTTAGCCTCTCAAGTACCTGGGACTACAGGCACCTGCCACCAGGATAATTTTTGTATTTTTAGTAGAGGTGTCCAGGCTGGTCTCGAACTCCTGACCTCAAATGATCCACCCGCCTCAGCCTCCCAAAGTGCTGGGATTACAGGCGTAAGCCAAGGCGCCTGGCCAATTGTGTTCCTCTTAAAGGCCCAGTACTCCCTGGACCACATTGTGAAACCAAATATGAAATAAGAATTGCTGCCTGGGCGTGGTGGCTCACACCTGTAATCCCAGCACTTTGGGAGGCCGAGGCAGGCGGATCACCTGAGGTCAGGAGTTCAAGACTAGCCTGGCCAACATGGCGAAACCCCGTCTCTACTAAAAATATAAAAATGAGTGGACTGTGGTGTCAGGCGCTTGTAGTCCCAGCTACTTTGGAGACTGAGGCATGAGAATCTCTTGAACCCGGGAGGCAGTGGTTGCAGTGAGTCGAGGTCACGCCACTGCACTCCAGCCTGGGGGCTACACAGAGATCCTGTCAAAAAAAAAAGAATTGCTGATGGCGTTTCACATTTACTTTTTTTTCCTACTTTTTTAATGACAAAGACTATGAATGCAAATGTTTTTTCTTTTGAAGGCCAAGCTGGAGGCAGCAAAGCAGGCCACTGAATGTTTGTGAGCAGGGGCGTGGTAAGGCCAGATCTGAGCTGAAAGTTCCTCTCACAGCAGGACGTAGGATGGATTCAAGTGATTTTGAGTGTAGGAGAACAGAGGTAAACCCTAACACTTTCTCCCACTTGAATAGAATAAATACTTGTGTATATGTCTCATCTCCCCATCCGAGTTTCTTCCCAATTAAGGGCAGAAAGCTTATTGTGTTCATTTGTGGAACCACAATGACACAAAGTGGGAGTGGATTAAAAAGTGGAGGACAGGCCGGGTGCGGTGGCTCAAGCCTGTAATCCCAGCACTTTGGGAGGCCGAGCTGGGTGGATCACGAGGTCTAGAGACCGAGACCATCCTGGTCAACATGGTGAAACCCTGTCTCTACTAAAAATACAAAAAATTAGCTGGGCATGGTGGCGCGTGCCTGTAATCCCAGCTACTCGGGAGGCTGAGGCAGGAGAATTGCCTGATCCCAGGAGACGGAGGTTGCAGTGAGCTGAGATCGCACCGTTGCACTCCAGCCTGGGTAACAAGAGCGAAACTCCGTCTCAAAAAAAAAAAAGTGGAGGACAGGAACCAGGCACGGTAGCCTGTGCAGGTGGCTGAGGCAGGAAGATTACTTGGGCCCAGTTCTAGGCACCCTGGGCAACATAGCAAGACCCCATCTCTAAAAAGAATAATAATAAAGTAAAAAATAAAAACTAGGAGAAGGACTGGAAATAACCCAACTGTCCATCACCAGGTAAATGGATTAACAATTGTAGTATAGGCCGGGCATGGTGGCTCACACCTATAGTCCAAGCACTTTGGAGGCCAAGGCGGGAGGATCACCTGAGGTCGGGAGTTCAAGACCAGCCTGACCAACATGGTGAAACCCCGTCTTAAAAAAAAAAAAATTGTAGTATAGCCATACAATGGAATACTACTCAGCAAAAGAAAAAAGAACTGATAAATGCAATAATACTAATGAATCTCACAATAATTACACTGAGTAAAGCAAGCCAGATGCAAAGAATACACGCTGCATGATTCCATATGTATCAAACTCTAGAAAATTCAAACTATCTATAATAACAAAGCAAATCAGTGGTTACCTGAGGACAGGGATAGGAACAAAAGAGGACACTGGTGAAGGGGGAAGGATAAAAGGATTCTTAAAGGGGCACTAATAAACTGTGGTGGCTGAGGGTGATAGAGTGTGTTCATTACTTTTATTGCGGTAATGTTTTCACAGGTATGCTTGTATGTCAAAACTTAGCAAATTGTACTTTAAATATGTGCAGTTTATTGTATGCCAATTATGCCTCAGTAAAGTTTAAAAAAAAAAAAAAAGTAAAGTGGGGTATGGCAGAGAAATGAATGGGGAGATGGAATTTTGGCTGGAGCCTGGAAGATTTGACCCTGGCTTGAAAAAAAGTTCTGTCCAAGCCAGAAGTAAAGGCAATTCAGTTGAGACCTGGGAACAAGCAAACAGGTTTAGGGGAAAGTGAACAGACCGTTTTAACTGGAGCAGAAAAACTGTACAGTGGAGCAGTAGGAGACGGAGCTGTGAAAGACGGAAAAGGCACATTATGGGAGGACTTCAGTACCGGGCTTTTAGAACACGTGCCTTAGATTGCAGTTCCACCACCTGCTGAGTGACCTTGGACAGGTCACTTACGCTTTCTGAGATTCGGTTTCCTTATCTGTAAAATAAGGCTGATAAGAGTTTTGCTCTTGTCACCTAGGCTGGTGTGCCATGGCACTATCTCAGCTCACTGCAACCTCCGCCTTCCAGATTCAAGTGAATCCCCTGCCTCAGCCTCCCGAGTAACTGGGATTATAGGCACATGCCACCATGCCCAGCTAATTTTTGTATTTTTAGTAGAGACCAGGTTTCACCATGTTGGCCAGGCTGGTCTTGGACACCTGACCTCAGGTGATCCACCTACCTCGGCCTCCCAAAGTGCTGGGATTACAGGCATAAGCCATCATGCCCAGCCAAAAGAACCTATTGTTTTGTTTTGTTTTTTTTTTTGAAAGGGAGTCTCACTCTGTTGTCAGGCTGGAGTGCAGTGGCTCCATCTCAGCTCACTGAAGCCTCTGCCTCCTAGGTTCAAGCAATTATTCTGCCTCAGCCTCCCAAGTAGCTGAGACTACAGGCACGTGGCACCACACCTGGCTAATTTGTGTATTTTTAGTAGAGACAGGGTTTCACTGTGTTAACCAGGATGGTCTCAATCTCCTAAACTCGTGATCCACTCGCCTTGGCCTCCCAAAGTGTTGGGCTTACAGGTGTGAGCCACCACACCCAGGCAACAGAACCTATTTTAAAAAGTGGCTGTGAAGATTTAATGAGACAATGCATGTAAGCCACTTACTTAGCAGAGGACCAGGTACACAGTTAAGTGCTGAGTAGAAGTAATCGTTATTATAACAATTTGTAGTGTTCGCGCCAAGGACTCGAGACAGCTAGTTGACTCGCCCCAGTTTGGCTGCTGGACCTGTCTGCATTTCCCCACCTCGAGGGCTGTCGAGTGAGACAAAGGGCCGCGAGCTGAGTCACTAAAAGCAACAACAGAATGCAAAGCAAAGGCCTGCAGTTTATGAGGACATTATGCTGTCTGCTTCCATGTCCCCCTTCAGTCTCTGTGTAAGCAATAAACTTGCTGCAATTGAGATGCCTAAGAGGAGCAGAGACCTCTGCCCATATTTTCCCTGGAGCCAAGCCTTTGTTTTAGCTCCTGGTGAAAAACAGGTTTAACCAGCCACCTTAAGGGCGCCATTGTATCTTTGAAATGTAAAATCTTTGAAATGTAAACTACTACCACTAGCCCCCTTAAACTGCCTTCTGTGTGGATATCACAAGCCCCTGATAACTATTTTTTATGGAGTTTCTATTTCCTTTCTGTTTACCCCTTCTTTTTTCTTTCTACTGGGATAAAGTAAATGTAAACAAGAAAAAAGGTATAAAAGCTGTAACCCACAAGAATAAATTTGCTGCGTTTTGACCATAATCTTCACGCAGCCCTCCAGACTCCACTTTTCTCTATTCTTTCTCTTCCGCGCACTCTCTCTCTCAGGTTGAACGAGACATCTACGTTGGCAGTCTCGGGGACTCCCGCAGGTCGGTAGTCCCCCGGCAGACGTGCCGGACCCCGACAACAATTATTGTTATTAACCCCAACATAAGCAAATGTTTAAAGATGCCCAGCAGAAATGATCGAAGAGGTTCTTGAGGATTAATCTCACCATCACTAATTACTTCCCCTCCAGAGTTAAAATATCAAACTCTAGCACCTGTTCCCCACTTTCCCATTCTATAACTTCCTTCCCAGTGAGTATCATGCCCAGGAGGAGCCCAAAACCAGCAACTAAGGCTCTCTCATGTTAGTCAAAGGATTCCAGCTGGTGAGCCCCACCACTGTGGGGACAAACTCAGTTGAGTTGAGCTATGTCCTCTGGGATGGAGGATCACAGCCACATTATCCCACTCTCAAGGTGCTCAGCCACCACCACCCAGGATTTATATCCAGGGTGCACTCTGAAGAGAATAAAGCCAGTGATATTTCTTTTCAATTCTAACGCATAGGGTCCAGGTTTTCAGAATGACCCTATTTCTCAATTCCCTTAACTGCTAACCTAGGAGCTAATTCTCTGGAGAATTTCTGAAAAAAGGCTTCTCGGTGCCTCAGTTTCCTGATCTGTAAAGTGAGTGATAATAATGGCACTACTTCCTGAGGCCCTGGTGAGAATTAAATGTGTCAATATGTATAAAGGACCTAGAACACTGCCTGATACATAGTAAGTGCTCCATAGGTGTTAGCTTAACTTTATTATGAACTTTATTTCTTCAATCTTATTTGTACTGCTTTCTATTTGTGATCATATATTTTTCAATTACTCAGCATTAACAGTGACCTTTTTTTAAAAAAATTTTTTAATAGAGACAGGTTTTCATCATGTTAGGCTGGTCTCGAACTCCTGACCTTGTGATACGCCTGCCTTGGCCTCCCAAAGTCCTGGGTTATAGACATGAGCCACCGCACCCAGCCAACAGTGACCTTCTAACAGACTATTTAAGCCCCAATGCACCTTTGGGGCAGCAGTTTGGCTGGTGGCTTATAAACAAGTCATCCCCCAGCTCAGAGGCTCCCAAGCTTTTCTACAGAACCAGTGGAAGTTGTATCTGTTAATCTCATTCATTGAGAAAATATACTGTAGATAAAATAATTCAGCAAAGACTTTAAATTAACTGGCAACTTTATTAATAATAACATCTACACACATTTGAAAACACACATGTAGGAGACAATTAAGATTTATTCAGTCTGTGATAATATCTAGAGCTCATTTGGATTCATCAAACCCCTGCAATCAACTCCCAAAGCCCTTAGCTAAAAGTAGAGTTGAATCACTCATCAAACCATCAGTGTGTTCCTCGGCAGAATCAAGGGTTTGACAGAAAGAGTAAATATTCTGCACTTCCACAAAATAAAACTAAAATGCAATTGTCCTGCATCTGAGAATACAAAGGTGGGCAGTATGAACTGCATGACCATGGACCAATCAGGCTTCTCTTGGCCTCATTTGTTTAAAAAAAAAAAGAGAGAGAGATTAACTTTGTAGTCCTGCCCATCTTGAATGGCCGCCTGAAAACCAAACCAGGTGGTGAGTGCAAATTAAAAGCTCCTCTCCTTTAAGAAGGGAACACCAAGACAGGAGTAGAAAAGAAGGAAAAAGGCTCTTTCCCATGACCAATACGCTGAATTTGATGAAAATCCAAAGGAGGTTAGGCTAAACCGGGAAGCACAAAGGTGGAACTACCATTGCCACCTCCTCTTTGATGCAAAAGAATCTTAACACGGCCCCCTCCCAGCTGTTGCACTGAAGTGACTAAGGATACATTTGAGGGAATAACTTCAAAAACATTTCCATTTTCACCGCGCCTTCACGTACATCTAATGGAAATGAACAGCACCCATCATCCATCCACAGAAGCGATTAAAAAACAAGTGGGATGGAAAAATTAACCCAACAATATTACTTCAATCCGTAGTATTGAAGTAAGTGTCCATAATGTGCCAGACTGACTGGCTGAAGAGGCACGGGAAAACCAGACCATCCGGTCTGTCAAGGGCTTGAGAATGCCATGAAGAAAACAGACGAGCCAATTTCAGACAGCTGCTACGAGGAAGATAAAACGAGACCGGGAACTATGAGAGGCGCGAATTCCTGAGTGGATGGCGTAGAAGGTCTCTGAGAGGTGACTTTTGAGCTCATATCTACATGGTGTCTTGCAGTGACCCGGGGCCGTAGCGTTACCATTTTAAAGCAGACACCATTAAAAGCAAAAATTATCCACAAACCGAGAAATAGGAATCTCAAAGTGAACCACGGAAACTGAAATCTACAAATTAGAAAGCGGCGCAGAATTTCGAATAGTCATGTCGCCCAATCAGGAAAAGGCTGGGACCCGGCTGCGCGGGCTTCGTCCAAAGTACACAGAACGGCTGGCATCCACAGGAGGCCCCATCCCAGGGCAAAACTGGTGACCGGACACAAAAGCTGCTGCGAAGCGTCAGTCATACAGCGCTGTCACGCAGTTTGCGGCACCCGGACTGAATTGTGTCCCAGAGTTCTCTTAAGTAACAGCCGGACTCAGCCACTTGGTTTTGAAATGATGAAACAGACCCAACGAAGCCACCAGGGCGCCAGTGTAAGGCGGGGGTGGGGGCGGGCAGAGTCGGATTCCCAACACCCTAAATGAGAACGGACTCCTGGGAAAGCTAAGCAGCACAATGAATAACGACACGCTCTAGATTCAAAAGCAAATCCAATCATGCACTGGGGACCTCGAGTTCCAAATGATTAAGCTACGTGTGCTATTTCCCATGACTTATGCTAAAACAACTTACTTTGTGAGAAAAAACTAAGGGAGTAAGTGAACAAGCTCTTTTCTAGTGATTAGGTGGGTGGCTCTGAAAAGAGCCTTTGGACTCAAGCAGCCGGCGACTCGAGCGAGCGAGCGAGCGCCAGGTCCCGGCAGGGACTCACTTGGAGCTGGTGTACTTGGTGACCGCCTTGGTGCCCTCGGACACGGCGTGCTTGGCCAGCTCGCCGGGCAGCAGCAGGCGCACGGCCGTCTGGATCTCGCGGGACGTGATGGTGGAGCGCTTGTTGTAGTGAGCCAGGCGGGACGCCTCCCCCGCAATGCGCTCGAAGATGTCGTTGACGAAGGAGTTCATGATACCCATGGCCTTGGACGAGATGCCGGTGTCGGGGTGGACCTGTTTCAGCACCTTGTACACGTAGATGGAGTAGCTCTCCTTGCGGCTGCGCTTGCGCTTCTTGCCGTCCTTCTTCTGGGCTTTAGTGACGGCTTTCTTAGAGCCCTTCTTAGGAGCAGGAGCGGATTTTGCCGGTTCAGGCATGGTAAGACACAGTACCAACGCGACTTAGCCAAGAAAAGAAGTAAGAGAATGGGCGGACCTGATCCTTTTATAACCATCTTATGCAAATTAAGGCTCCGAAACTAATTCACTTCCATTGGTCCGTGTGTGGACCTTGCGTTTTCAGCAACGTCTACGTAGCGATACCGACTCTTGACTTGATTGGCCGGCTCTGAAGCCAAATTAGGACCAATGAAAAACTCGTCCTTGACCCCACCCCTAAGAAAGCTTATAAAGGCTTTCTTCTTGGTGATCTTTCAATCTTATTTTGTTGCGTGGTTCTGAGCTTTGTCTGCGTTTAGCCTTGGTTTTAATCATGTCTGGCCGTGGCAAGCAAGGAGGCAAGGCCCGCGCCAAGGCCAAGTCGCGCTCGTCCCGCGCTGGCCTGCAGTTCCCGGTAGGGCGAGTGCACCGCCTGCTGCGCAAAGGCAACTACGCGGAGCGGGTGGGGGCCGGCGCGCCCGTCTACATGGCGGCGGTCCTGGAGTACCTGACCGCCGAGATCCTGGAGCTGGCGGGTAACGCGGCTCGGGACAACAAGAAGACGCGCATCATCCCCCGTCACCTCCAGCTGGCCATCCGCAACGACGAGGAGCTGAACAAGCTGCTGGGCAAAGTCACCATCGCCCAGGGCGGCGTGTTGCCCAACATCCAGGCCGTTCTGTTACCAAAGAAAACCGAAAGCCACAAAGCCAAAAGCAAATAAATGCAGACAAACCAAAGACCAAAGGCTCTTTTTAGAGCCACCCAAGTTTTCAAAAAAAGAGCTAATGCGCTGTTTCGTTACCAGCCCTTCATTTGACACTTTGGTGGCTCTTAAAAGAGCCTTTGGGGTGAATGGGTATGGTGTCAAGCCTATTTATTACTTGCTCTTGCCAGGCTTGTGACTCTCCGTTTTCTTGGGCAACAGGACAGCCTGGATATTGGGCAAGACGCCGCCCTGGGCAATGGTGACACCCCCCAGTAACTTGTTGAGCTCTTCGTCATTCCTCACAGCTAGCTGCAGATGGCGAGGGATGATGCGCGTCTTCTTGTTGTCCCGAGCCGCGTTGCCCGCCAGCTCCAGAATTTCCGCGGTCAGGTACTCGAGGACCGCTGCCAGGTACACTGGGGCGCCGGCCCCCACCCGCTCCGCGTAGTTGCCTTTGCGCAGCAAGCGGTGCACTCGCCCCACCGGGAACTGGAGGCCAGCGCGGGACGAGCGCGACTTGGCCTTGGCGCGGGCCTTGCCCCCCTGCTTTCCGCGTCCCGACATTACGGCTAAAATTGCAGTCACAGCTTCTTTTTCAAGGAGAAGAATGTGGAAGGGATAACCAATTTGATGTAATTTATAAGAGCCACCGGGAGGGGTGAAGGGAAGTCGTTTGATTGGCTGAAAGCGGAGCCGTATCCAACAGCCAATAGGAAAGCAGAAAGCCGCCTCCCGGTTTGCATCCTGCGCCGAAAGGAAATGACGGATTTTGTCAGTACCTACCAATCACTGAGAGCCACATTAAAGCCCCTTATTTGCATGCCAGGACCTTTAAAGAGAGTAGGCTTTCAAATAGAACGCTGGTTCTTTTTTACCGAGTGGCACTGTGGGTTTGGTTTTGTTTGTCCCCCGTTTACAGTCGGCAAATCCCAGGATGGACCCCCCCAAGGGTCTGCAGAAGACTTCCACGGACGGAGAGTTACTCTCACGCAAGAATAGGATTCTGAAGCTGATTATATCCCGAGCTATGAAGTACCAAGTCCCGCCCTTTCTGTCTCGTCACAGCCAAATTCTCTTTAAAAACACGGGTACTATTAAGGCTGCCTCCATTCTCGGCCTTCTGTGTAGCCGCCGGCAGCGGCCTTTCTCAGCTCCACCCCCACACGCCTGCCCTCCTCGGAAGGTGGTTTGACCGAAGTTACAATAGATTTGCCATCCTCCCCTTGACCTCCAGGAGGCGGCCCTGAAACTTGCTCCCTTGGCTTTCAAAATGTCGCCCTCCGTTTTTCTTACCTCGCTGACTTTTCTTACCCTGCTAACCATTCCACTGCCCATCTCTAAATCTGCGAGTCCAGCTGGACTCGGCATCCCTATCTCCAATTTTATCCCAGAGTCTTACCCATTTCTATACTTGCAACTAACATTCAAATTTGTTTCAGAAGCTCAGACCCCCTTATACCTAACTACTTACTGAACACGTCAACCTACTTGTCCCAACGAGCACCTCAAACTCAACCTCAGCCTATCCAAATGCGAACGCAGGCAAACAACCTCCCCTTTGCCGTCTTTTCCTGAAATGCACCAACATACTTACATCCACACGACTCTTCCCTTCGTCTCAGCATGTGCAGTCAGTTGCTTCCTTAACATCCTTCAGACGTTTTCTCCATGCTTCCTTGTCCACATCATCATCCCTTAGATTTCAGCAACAGCCAGGAAAGCGTAACTTCGCCGTCAGGCACTAATTGATGGTATGACTTCAGCGGCCTTAGAAATCTTTCCTGAAAGCTCTGGGGTTTTGTTTTGTTTTTTCTTTTATCCCATATAACAGATGAACCTGCAAGCTCTGGTGTTTCTTCCTCCTCAGCTTCCTATCTCTGGGAGTTCGACATCTCCCACACCATCCATTTCCTTAGTACCCCTTAAGGACAGGTAGAATTCGAGAGAGAGAAAAAAAAAATAGACTGTGGTTTCCTGTTTTCTGAGGCGGAGTCTCACTCTGTCGCCCAGGCTAGAGGTCTATCTCCGCTCCCTGCAACCTCCACCACCGCCTCCTCCACCCTGCCCCCACCCACCTGTGTTCAAGCGATCCTCCCACCTCAGCCTCACGAGTAACTGGGATTACAGGCGCCCATCACCACGCCCAGCTAATTTTTGTATTTTTAATAGAGATGGGGTTTTACCATGTTGGCCAGGCTGGTCTCAAACTCCTGATCTCAAATGATCTGCCCACCACAACCTCCCAAAGTGCTGGGATTACAGGCGTGAGCCACTGCACCGGCCAGAAAAGAACAGCTTAAATCTTATTCTCTGAGACCTTTTCTGATATTTTCTCCTTTATCCTCACCTTTATTCAACTGGCATTTATTGGATGTGTGCTACCGGGTGATGGGTCTATAGATAATTGAAAGTGGTACACAACCAAATGGAGAGCAAAAATAAATAAATAAAAAGCAGGAGTTGCAATTTTCACATTTGACAAAATAGAATTCAAAGCTACAAGGATACAAGGGTAAAAGGATTAATGTAATAATAAGAGATCTTAACACCCAGATACATAAGACCCATAATGAGATTTAGATTCAACGAGACAGAAAATTGATAACGATATCCGGGACTGGAACTAAGATCCAGAACAAATAAACTCAATAGAGCTCTCCATTTTAAACACACAAAATATACATTATCCACAAAATCTAACGATATATCTAAAGATATACAAAGACTCAAAACAAGGGGATGGAAAAAAAACTCACCAACCAAATGAAGAGCAAAAATAAATAAATAAAAAGCAGGAGTTGCAATTCTCACACTTAATAAAATAGATTTCAAAGCTACAAGGATGCAAGGGTAAAAGGATTAATGCAACAATAAGAGATCTTAACACCCAGATATATAAGACACATAATGAGATTTAGATTCAACGAGACAACAAATTGATAACGATATCCAGGACTTGAACTCAGAGCCAGAACAAATAGAGGTCTCCATTTTAAACACATAAAATATGCATTAACCACTTTAAACACTCAAAATATTGATCGGCCATTATTGAAAGCCATTTTAGGAATGAAGTAATATTCCTTTTTCCCTCTTTTTCTTTTTTTCCTCTTCTTTTTCTCTTTTTCCCTCAAAAAAAAAAAGAAGCCCAGCTCCTGGTCTTGGGATGGGGCAAAGCTGAGAGGACAATCCATGCGCACTGCACCTCGTTCGAGCAAGCCGAGCCCAGCCCCCACCAATCCCACCCTGTTGCCTTCTCCTTCTTCCTTGTCCTGCCTCTGCCACCCTTACCAGCTTCTCCTTCAAGCTCAAAAAAAAAAAAAAAAGAAAGTGGTACAAACAAGTCTGTGACTAAATGCCTCCAGAAAAATGGAAGAAATCTAGTGAACTCTGAGAGTTAAATTAGTTAATATCAGCTATGTATAAAGATTACTCCTGGTAAGAATGCTGGTATAGATTTGGGAAACATCAAAGTTCAGGCAGAGGTGACCTAAGATACTTCTAATCCAACTGATGATATCATTTGAGAAGATGAATGTTAACAGAGAGGTGTGGTCCACCTAGAGTTCAAACAGGTGGCAATTCTAGTAGGAATATGTTCTGTTTTCACCGACACTAAAATATATCTGGCAAATGCAAAGTTTGACCTTCTAGAGAAGGGTCCTTGATTATAAAAGCATCAACCTTTTCTCACAGCCGAGATGAAATATTTCTGAAGACTATCCAAGTTCCTTCATTCAGATTCTATGCTTAATTAACAACTTTCTGATTATCTGTTCCAAGATAAAAACATAAGACTGAAGTGGGGGGAGCCAGTTATAGAAAGATGTTCATCAGGCCCGGCGCAGTGGCTCACGCCTGTAATCCCAGCACTTTGGGAGGTCAAGGCAGGCAGATCATGAGGTCAGGAGTTCAAGACCAGCCTGGCCAACATGGTGAAATCCCATCTCTACTAAAAATACAAAAAAATTAGCTGGGTATGATGGCATGCACCTGTAATCCCACCTACTCAGGAGGCTGAGGCTGGAGAATCCTTGAAACCAGTAGGAGGAGGTTGCAATGAGACAAGATCAGACCATTGCAATCCGGGCTGGGCAACAGAGTGAGACTCTGTCTCAGAAACAAACAAAAAGTAATCTATGGTGTTAAAGGTCAGAATAATGATTACCTATGGCAGAGTAATATTGACTTGCCTGGGAGCCTTCTGAGGTGCTGCGAATGTTCTGTCTTGATATAAGCATATTCATGTGTAAAATTCAACTGTACATTTAAGATTTGTAGTTTTCTCTTTGTTTTTGCTTTTGTTTTATTTTGTTTTGTTGAGCGGAGTCTTGCTCTGTCTCCCAGGCGCTCAGGCTGGAGTGCAGTGGCGAGATCTTGGCTCACTGCAACCTCCACCTCCCAGGTTCAAGCAATTCTCCTGCCTCAGCCTCCTGAGTAGCTGAAATTACAGGCACATGCCACCATGCCCAGCTAAGTTTTTGTATTTTTAGTAGAGATGGGATTTCACCGTGTTGACCAGGATGGTCTCAATCTCCTGACCTCGTGATCCACCCACCTCCGCCTCCCAAAGTGCTGGGATTGCAGGCATGAGCCACTGCACCCGGCCTTATTTTTGTTTTTTTGAGACAGTCTCCCCCTGTCATCCAGGCTGGAGTGAATTGGCATGATCCCAGCTCACTCCAACTCTACCTCTCAGGTTCAAGCAATTCTCATACCTCAGCCTCCCAAGCAGCTGGGATTACAAGCATGTGCCACCATGCCTGGCTAATATTTTTGTACTTTTAGTAGAGACAGACTTTCTCCACATTGGCCAGGCTGATCTTGAACTGCTGACCTCAAGTGATTCACCTTCCTTGGCTCCCCAAAGTGTTGAGATTACAGGTGTGAGCCACCATGCCCATCCTAGATTTACAAATCTCTTATATGTAAATTATACCTCAGTAAGCACAAGTTAATTTTTAAATATGAAGAAATATTGAAGTAGTCAACGTGGGGGAAACAATGAGTCCCATCCAAGTCCTCATGTTACAGATGAGTATTTTTTTCTTTCTTTTTTTTTTTTAACTGCAGCGTTCACGCCAAGGGCTTGAGACAGTTAGCATGACTCGCCCCATCTTGGCTGCTGGACCTATCTGCACTCCCCCCATCTCGAGGGCTGTCGAGCTGAGACAAAGGTCGTGGGCTGAGTCACTGAGGCAAAAACAGAATACAAAGCAAAGGTCTGCGGTTTATGAGGACATTGTTCTGTCTGCTTTCATGTCCCCATCAGTCTCTGTGTAACAATAAACTTGCTGCAATGAGATGTCTGAGAGGGGCAGAGACCCCTGCCCATATTTTCCCTGGAGCTAAGCCTTTGTTCTACCTCCTGATGGAAAACAGGATTAACAAGCCACCTTAAGGGCACCATTGTTTGCTTGCACTGTGTATCTTTGAAAAACAAACTGCTTTGTAAACTATTATCACAAGCCCCCTTAAACTGCTTTGTGAGCGGTTATCACAAGCCCCTGATAACTATTTTTATGGAGTTTCTATTTCCTTTCTGTTTACCCCTTTTTTTGCTGAGATAAAGTAAATGTAACACGAAAAAAGGTATAAAAGCTGTAACCCACAAGAATAAACTTGCTGTGTTTTGACCATAACTTATGCAGACCTCCAGACTCCACTTTCCTTTCTTCTTTCACTGCCGTGCACTCTCTCCCTCAGGTTGACTGAGACATCTACGTTGGCGGTCTTGGGGACTCCCGCAGGTCGGTAGCCCCCTGGCAGACGTGCCAGACCCCAACAAAAAACGAGGTTTCACTGTGCGGTGTTCGCTCCAAGGGCTTGAGACAGTTAGCGTGACTCGCCCCATCTTGGCTGCTGGACCTATCTGCACTCCCACCTCTTGAGGGCTGTCGAGCTGAGACAAAGGCCACGGGCTGAGTCACTGAGGCGAAAACAGAATGCAAAGCAAAGGTCTGCGGTTTATGAGGACATTGTGCTGTCTGCTTTCATGTCCCCATCAGTCTCTGTGTAAGCAATAAACTTGCTGCAATGAGATGCCTGAGAGGGACAAGAGACCCCTGCCCATATTTTCCCTGGAGCTAAGCCTTTGTTCTATCTCCTGATGGAAAACAGGATTAACAAGCCACCTTAAGGGCACCATTGTTTGCTTGCACTGTGTATCTTTGAAAAACAAACTGCTTTGTAAACTATTATCATAAGCCCCCTTAAACTGCTTTGTGAGCGGTTATCACAAGCCCCTGATAACTATTTTTATGGAGTTTCTATTTCCTTTCTGTTTACCCCTTTTCTGCTGAAATAAAGTAAATGTAACAAGAAAAAAGGTATAAAAGCTGTAACCCACAAGAATAAACTTGCTGCGTTGTGACCATAAGTTACGCAGACCTCCAGACTCCACTTTTCTATTTTCTTTCACTTCTGCACACTCTCTCCCTCAGGTTGAACGAGACATCTACGTTGGTGATCTCGGGGACTCCCACAGGTCGGTAGCCCCCCAGCAGACATGCTGGACCCCAACATTTCACCATGTTGGTCAGGCTGGTCTTGAACTCCCAACCTCAGGTCATCTGCCCACCTGGGCCTCCAAAATGCTTGGATTACAGGTGTGAGCCACCACCCCCGGCCACAGATGAGTATTTATTATCGTTTGGTTGTTTTGTTCAATTATGTATGAGGTAGTTAACATAATCTCTCAGTGCTTAAAGCCTCTAAAAGCCTTAATCTGGCCATGACAGACCTTCATTAAATAGTAGATATTATTATGAATATATTTTCATTAGAAACAAAGACAAGAAGCTTGCCCCGTGGAGCTCACAACTTGCAAAGCTTTCATTTATTTTTACAACGACAATAATAGTGATGCTGCCCTTCCCATTCATACATTAATTCACTCATCCATCCAGTATATCTTATTGAACACCTAAGTATGCCAAACTGAGCTTGGCATCACACATCTAGAATATAGTGAATACCACTCCTTTTGCCTGGATCTCTCTTTCCACGTGGTTAATTCCCTCCAGTCATTCAAATTTCTGTTAAAATGTTACCTTCACACCT